CGGTTTCCTGCACTTGATTTCCCGTAGGCACCGCTAATTAATTTGTGTTTTTGTTGCTTTAATTCTACTAGGGAACTTGCTGTATTGGCCGTGCGCCGTAATTTTGTTTTAGTTCTTCCGAAGGGACCGCTGCCATTTGCTGAACTTGTCCGATTCCTGGAGGTGCCGTTTACCTGGAGCTTCCCTAGCTAACCATATCCGTTTACCGGTCGATAAGGTGTTCGAGAAACTCGAACTCAAATCTTTCATCGCCACAAGAGCCAAATATCAAAAATTAAAGAACACTATACAAATTTTTATTCATGTCATCGCAATCTACATAAAAAAGCATTTCTTCTTTCAATTTTTAAATATTACGATATCAAGATGACCCTCCCTCTCCCTCTCTCAACAAGCACTTATCAAGGCGCCTCCGGAAATTTTCCATAACGTCTCGTAACATTTGCTGAGGTATTCTAGCAATGCCTTTGCAAATGTTTTCGTTATCGGCATAGAAACCCTTTCAACGTGAATGTTTGGTCTGTATTCAGGAATAAGTTCTTCATTAACTTTTCAGTACTTTGGATACACGAGTCCGATGTTTCCCGCGAAAAAACCAATGTACTTATACATACAGTCAAAATGGGCAACGCTCTGTAAGTGCGCTAGGAATTAATGTATAAGGCATTCAATATTATCATACGGCAGCTGCTGACGTCGAAGAAATAATCAATTTATATGCAATTATTTTATTTGCATTGTTGCAGAAGCGAAACTCTCGCAGCATTTGCCAATAATGGTGTCATATGGATAACTCCATGCAACGTTATCCGTATAGATTCAAGGTCCGTGAAGTTGGAGTGTCGACTTGAAAGGAATTAAGTTCCAAGTATCTCATAATTTTGTACTCATTTTGTGCTAATTTGTGCTGCCAATTTAAAATTTTGTGCTCATCAGGTTAATGAGTAATTCAACTTTTTCTGATGACACTACAACTTCACGCTTGAGTGTCAACATCGATATTTTCAAAATTTTCTTTTACTATAATTTTGTGCTCATTTTGTGCTAATTTGTGCTGCTAATTTAAAATTTTGTGCTAATCAGGTTAATGAGTAATTCAACTTTCTCTGATGACACTCCAACTTCACGCTTGAGTGTCAACATCGATATTTTCAAAATTTTCTTTTACTATAATTTTGTGCTCATTTTGTGCTAATTTAAAATTTTGTGCTCATCAGGTTAATGAGTAATTCAAATTTTTCTGAAGATACTCACTGTAGTGTCAGTTAGTTGGATATTGCCATCGCCGTTTTTTTGGAAAAAATTTCATCAAATGTCGACATTTTAGATCATTTTAAGCAACTTCTAAATAATAAAATTTGTCTGCCTGTGGGTACGTACCGTACGTACTATGTACAGTGTGGTCCAATTTCGATGGGATTAAATGGGTAATTTTCTTATTAGCGCAGATAAACGAAAACGGTTTTAGTACTCGTGTCCTTATTTTTTATGCTTATTCCATTACCTTTGCTTTATGCTTATTCCATTACCTGCCGTCTTTTGTTTTTTCACTAGAGAGAAAAAGTGAAAAATGTTGAAGCTAGAACAAAATGGCTTTAGCATTATTCAAGCAGTTTTTAATGTAGATAACCAATGTCGTCAGTCGTTTGTTTCTAGACCTTTTAATAATCAACTGTTTCTAGACCTTTTAATAATCAACTTTTTATTTATTTATTATTGTCTTTATTTTATAGTGGGCGGAGTGTTAGCTAATTAGCTACTCTTTCCACAAAAAAACTTTTGTTATTGTCTTTCAGGGAAGATGTATTAATAAGCAAAATTTATTTTAAAAAGCTTATTCTTGAAAATAAGTATGATAAATAAGTATGATGTATTATACATTTTAGGAAAGCTCGTAAAGCAATAAATTGTTTTAAACCATGGTAAATTGTAACTTCAATTTAAAAAAATCAACTTTGAGTTACAACGCAGTTACTAAAAGAATTAGAAACAAACAAATCGTACAAAAGAAATAGGGCTGAATTTGTGTTTATGAACTTATAACATTAATCCGAATTATAATGGAATTTTGTGATAAAATGGTTACCCAATTTTCGTGTATAATTAGTCGTAATGACAATTATCAGGCTGAAGAACGGAATGAAGCCTGTGAATGCGGTATCTGTTTGCACAGCTTGCAATCTGTTTTATTTTAATAGATTTACTATTCTTAAATGTTTTCTATTTTTTTAATGGTAGAACCTAGATTTTAGCGCATTTTTAAACTTATGTTGGAAGGCGCAATTATGACCACTTTCTCCGTCCGTCCATGCGAGGGCGCCACTGCTCCTACAGTTTTCAATATATTTAGTTCGTTCTTCTTGAATTCGGTAGCTCTGTGATGACGATAAATGTGCGCATGCGCAATACCAATTTTCTTATTTATTAATATATTTTGCTGAAATTTTTACCACATTTATAGTAAAGGCAAACATATTGCATATGGTAAAAATCAGGTGTGCGCATGCGCAGACTGCACAATGCCCGCATCCTTTTTTTATAGATATTTTTTGGAAAATTTAACCACATTCTAGTAAAGGCAAACGTCCCATATTAGATATGCGCATGCGCAAACCGCCCAATACTAACTTCCTTATTTTTAATTATAGATGCTTCTAATAACGAAAAACATAGGTCACATAACAATGGACTATGGAAGTCCCGAATAATGCATGAAAAATGCTCGCAATTTACTCGCCTTAGGCCCAAACCTCTTTACTTTTAACTTTTATGTCCACAGTAAGGTGCCTTTTGCGGCTTCGCACTCTTTTTTTATTACTCTCCCTTGAGCTACATCCAGGGGTGTATTTCCCACAAGGCGGACTAGTTGCGCGCCTAGAGCGGCAAATTCTAGGGGCGGTAAATTTTGGAGGAAACATTTTGAGTATTCACCAGTTTTGGTTTTGTTAAGCAAGAAGCATGAAGCGTAGAGACCACAAATTTAAATATCTGATTGTTTGTTGATGAGCGGTAAATACGGCAACCAGGAATAAAACAAGGAAAGGAGTATGTAGCGTTCTTTTCTTACCAATTGATATTCCAAATTTATATTCCTTATATACTTCGAATTTTACTCGTTGATTGTTGAGTGAGAAATAGCAAAGAGGCGCAACTATAATGTAAAATTGCGATACATATTCCCGAAGCTTCCCGTGCCCACAGTCCACAGTGGGAGGGGTGTGAGTGTGTTAGACGTGCGACTCTGATGCTTAAAGGCCACCCAACAACACAAACCGATTGAAAACCAATGAAAGAGCGTTGGACTATAATTCCGGAGGTCGGGTGTTCGAACCTGGATTGAGGTGAATTTTTCATCTGTGGCAGATACCTTAGACCAGTTGCGAGCATTCTGCCGGCTACTCTGAATGACGTTTTTCTGCAGTTTTCCTAATTCGTAAGGTAAATACCGGAGTAGTATAAAACAACTTAATACCTTCTCTGCAGAGGCACCTCTAAAAAGCACTATGCGGGTCACTCTGTAATTGGGCGTAAGCCTGTTGAGGGCCCAGAACAAGAGAGGAATAGTAAATAAATAAATAAACGCTGCTACATCTGCGGAAATCGATTATTCTTTACCAAATTGCCGATGTACTGAAGCATCTTGCATTAAGCCTCATCTAAATTAATCGAGTTGCACCTCTCTTTATATTTCTCACCCCATCTAGGTATTCCCTCTGTAAACCCGTTTAGTTTAGATGCCAGTCATTTCTATAGTATATTTGTTATTACCATAGTTCTTTGGTTCGCCACTAGAGGTCGTGATCTTCTTTTTTTCTACATACGCATGTCCTATACTTCTTCCTTTCAGAGACGATCTGGATCTGGGTTAATTGCGTGCAAATTTTTCTCGATACGCCATTACTTTTTACTTGACTTTGTGTCAATCTGTTTTGGCTGTGAACATATTTCTATTGAGTGTTTTTTCTCTATTTCTGATGTGCTGTGGCTGTGCTCCATTGAATACGCTTTGCAAGTAATTAGTGTGAGGTATGTACTTCAGCATTTTTCTTAATACGTTTTTTAGGGTTTTATCTTCCCTCAAGGTTCGCTCAAACTTCTCTCTTAACTTCTTATCATTTTCTCTTCTGGATTACTTTTACGTTATTCTCTACCTGGATATTTCTTACGCAGAACGTGGATGACATCGCAATTTTACCTGGACCCGCCATCTTAGCGAAATTGACATTGGCAACGTCACGTGAGACGACATTACATAACCTACTTCGAAAATTTACACCTGGAGATGTACCTAATTGTTCATTACTAACTGCAAGTATTTGCGAAACCTTTTGGAGAATATTAGCTTTCTATCTTTACACCATCATATTCTTTTTCTATGAATATCTTTAAGTACAATTCTTTCGGTGTATATTATGGGTTTCCAACTTAGACAATACAGTACATGGACTGCTAATTAGCAGTACAAATTAGCACAAAATGAGCACAAAATTATAGTAAAAAAAAATTTGAAAATATCGATGTTGACACTCAAGCGTGAAGTTGGAGTGTCATCAGAGAAAGTTGAATTACTCATTAACCTGATGAGCACAAAATTTTAAATTAGAAGCACAAATTAGCACAAAATGAGCGCAAAATTATAGTAAAAGAAAATTTTGAAAATATCAATGTTGACACTCCAGCGTGAAGTTGGAGTGTCATCAGAAAAAGTTGAATTACTCATTAAGCTGATGAGCACAAAATTTTAAATTATCAGCAGCACAAAATTATAGTAAATTAGCAGCACATCAAGAAAGTTAGCTGATGAGCACAAAATGCAGCACAAATTAGCACAAAATGAGCACAAAATTATGAGATACATGGGACTTAATTCCTTTCAAGTCGACACTCCAACTTCACGGACCCATAGATTCAATATTTAAAAAAAAGAAAACAGATTCCATCGGATTCGACTTTGTAATCTAAATACCTTCCTCGTAAAATACCAAACTAACAAGACTTACGGTGAATATCCAATTTCCATCCATCCTCAATGCCACTTTTCGGAATGAGTTGCTGTTGCCCCCTGCACGACAAAAACTTTCCACCGTCATCGATTGTAGGCGAAAATGTTAAAACACTGGTCGTTGTGTTACTATCCGGGCTTGTCTGAGAACAAAAGTCTATAATTAGTCATGTTGTCGACTACTGCAGACTTTTCATAGGTTTTTAATTTTTTGGGAAATTAAAAGCTGTGTAAATTAACCCAAAGCGACAAGTAGGTAAGTATATACATGTGGAAAAAAGTTCCTGATCCTTTTATCGCTGTTTGTTCGAGTATTAGTAGTTTCTACTCTTTGTGTGGGTTTCAAACCCACAATTTTAATGACTGTTCCCTTTTAACCATTTATGGAAGAACTTGACCTCGTACCTATTTAACTTTTGCAATTTAATCAACGGCTTAATTTACGTTGAGTAATGGAATTACGAAACTTTATAATAATACTTTGTACAGCTTTATTCATTTGTAAAAAAAATACACAAATAAAATTTAATAATGCAAGAAAAATTTCTACCCACAGCAGTTACAATTATTTAGTTTAGTAAAGGTATAAAACAAAATGATCGCATCAGACGCTTTTGATGTAGATCCGAGGCGAGGAGGTGACAAATTATGGACGAAAAACGAATAAGGTTTCTTATTCTCGGGAGCATTGCAGTTAAGTTTAATCATTGAAAAAGGAAAAGCAGGATATGGAGTGCGAGAGCAATTAGTTCAGGAACTAATCTTCACACTGTCGTTGTGGGAACTACACGAGCACAAAAGACAGGAAATCTGATGGCTGTAACACAGGGAACTGAGCGATTAGAGTGAAGGGGGGCTCCTCATGAGCGATGCTGATAAATGTTCACCTGTACCTTAGACTAATATTGTTTAATGTACAATTTGTACAACGTGTAACAGGTAAAAGATAAAAACCTATTTAATTTAATTAATATTCTTAGTTCCATAGTGAACTTTGAACCAAATAAATGCTCAACGTGTTTCTCTTCATGGAAATTAAGTGATCGAATTTTTAAGGTACGGTTTTATTCAGGAAGAGGCGCCTTTCCAACGGTATTCGTATCACAAAATAGCCGTTTGCACCCGTTCCCGACGTTACATTCACCCGTAATTCACGATTGACGACCCGAACGCAGACGGTCACCACCTTTATTTGCGCATTCATTATGGAATTGCAACCAGGCAGTCCAACAGGATCTGCAGAGAACAAATAATGCAGTTTGGACTACTGGTAGCTGCTCAACATTCTGCTATATGTAAATTTATAGATAGCCTTCGCAAAGAGCAGCAATGGAACGGCATATAGCGACGATACAACACTATATTCTGTGAGGAAATCCCCCCCCCCCCCCTCATAATCATAATTGCTAGCTCAAAATTCGTTCCTAGTTATTATAGAATGCAAAGATAAGGAAGATGCAAGTAAAATTACTCAAGCAATTAGTAATAAAGCTGAAGGGATTTTACATGGAAAAGAGATAAGAAAGGCCCAAGGGTAATAATTAAAAGAGTTGACAAAAACTAATACAAAAATTAATAAATTGTAACAAGGATATTATTGAAAAGATAGGGGGTGCAGAAAATTTTGAAAACGAAATAAGGGAAAAATTTAGAAGAGGAAGCAAAGATTCAAATCCTTTTGTAGATATAATATTTGAAGTCAGACCGCAATTTCGCAAGTTAATTATTGGAAAAGAAATTTGTCTTGTGTGGAGTTCGCACATTGTGGAAGACTATTTATCTATTTTAACCTGTTACAAATGTTGGGGTTTTGGCATATGTCCAAACATTGTAAAGAGACGGAAGATATGTGTGGGAGATGTGGGAAGAAAGGTCATAGAAAACAGGATTGTGTAGCCTCTACACCGTGCTGCCCAATGTGTGATAAATATAATATTTCGAAAAATAAGTTAATTTTAAACACTGATCACGAAGTCTTTAGCAATTTTTGTAGTTCTTTGGAAAATCAATTGAAGGGACTTGAAACAAGAATCAATTATGGGTGAAAAAATTTTAATTAAATTTGGACAAATAAATTTAGGGAAAAGTAAGGCGGCAACAAACAATTTGATTTATTTAATGGACAAAAATAAAATTAATATATGTTTAATCCAGGAACCACACGTATGAGAGAGGAAATTTTTGGTAACAGCAACCCTAATAGAGCAATTTTCGAACGATAAATTCACGACAATAGAAATGAACTTTAAAGGATTATTAAAATTGTATGTCATTGTAAATCTTATTATATTTGCCCAGAAATTTGGAAGGATATTTTTAATTTATGTCTAAAACAAGGAATATTTCCTAAATGCTGGAAAATTCAAATAGCGAGTTTCATTCCAAAATTTAATTTAAATTCTTCAAATACCTTTAGACCAATAAGTTTACTACCATTAATCGGAGAAATTTTTGATAAAATAATAACTTACAAAATTGATTGCCATTTAACAAAATTAAAAGCGATAAATGAAGAGCAGTATGGTTTTTGCCAATTGATGCTATTAAAAAAGTAGTACAAAGCGTCAAGGAACTACCAAGAAATATAATAACATTACCAAAGAGCTTTTTTGAAAATAGGATAGCATTTTGACATAACGGAAATTTTAAAAAAAGATGTACAAAAATGATGTCCTCAAGGTAGCTGCTGTGGACCAATTTTTTGGAAAATTTTACATAACTCAATTTTTAGAGTAAAATTGCCCGAAAACACAAAATTAATTTCGTACGCAGACGATACTGTTATAATTATCGGTTCAAAACAGTATAAAACAATTAAAGAAAAAGCTAATAAAAGTTTGGTAGCCATGGTCATATGATTTGTACCACCTACAATACATAGTATAAGAGAGGTCTACAAATGACTTGTCTTTTGGATCCCTAGAAACCCAGATCTCAATGATCGTCAGTCCGCCTGTCTGTTCACTCATTATCTGCAAACCACTCAACCGAAGTTGGGACACGTGTTCTTAGGCGAAAGATGAACTGGTGAAAAGCTTTTGAAAATTTGCTAATTTTTTTATTAATCAAATCAATTAAACGTTATGGTACTCAATTATGCGAACTATATTTTCCAAGAAAAACAAATCTCTACAGCGGGTGGTATTTGCGCGGGACACGGAAAATTATTATTTCGCCCGCCCGCTCTGTAAATTTATTGACTCGCTTTTAGTAATCAAGCCACATCTCTGCCTTGGAGTCTCAACGATTGTACGGAGAGAGATTTTCCGACCGAAGGCATCCTGATAGTAGACCATTTTCTGCGGTGCATCGCCGCTTATTAGAAACAGGATTTTTAATTATGCGGGACCGTCCATTTCGTAGGGATTTTGAATTCGAAGAGTAGGTCCTACAAAAAGTTGAAGAACATCCTTACACTAGTACGCGGGTTGTATCGCGTATGACTGGTAAGAACCACGTGGCTGTATGGCGTGCGTTAGAAGATCAACTGCTGTACCCGTACCATTTTCAAAAAGTACAGCGACTATTGCCAACGGATTATGAACTTACGAGTCGGGTTCTGCCAGTTCGTTGCAAGGCGTGACCGTGGGAACCATAATTTTCATTCGTCCATTTTATTTACTTATGAGGTCACCTTTCATCAAGATGGTTATGTTAATGTTAAGAACAGACACGAACCCCCATGATGTTCTTCCTATGAGAAGCAAACGCATATTTTCGATTAACTTATGGGCAGGAATTGTAGGACAGCATCTTTTAGGACCCTACATACTGCCGCCACGAATGAGCGAGGATAAATATTTAACGTTCTTGCAAGAAGTGCGTTAGTAGACCATTTGGACGACGTGCCCCTGGAATTGCATCAACGTGTATGGTATCAAGCTCAGGGCGCACCTCCCCACTTCACCCGTGCCATCAGAGATCACCTGAACGTTACTTTCCCCAATCGTTGGATAGGGAGAGGTGGTCCATTAGTGTAGCTAGCGAAATCACCCGATCTTACTCTACTAGATTTTTTTCTATGGTGGGATCTGAAAAATATATTGTATTTCGGAAATTGAACAATCGATTCCGTAAAAGAACTGGTTGCTGGAGTTATGGCAGCTTCAGAAGAAATGAAAACCCATCCGATCATCGTATTGAAGTCTACAAATTCAATTCCAAAAAGATGCAGGTTGTGCGCGTCTTGTAACGGGATTTCCCTGTACTTTGAACCGAATAACCCGGTATTATTTAACCGCGAGGAAGCTAAAAGGGAATTAACAATGTAAAGTAAAAATCGCGGTTAGAAAGGCAATTTCATTTCACATGTAAATAAATAGGACCTTCAAATCTATTTTAAGTACGTAAATTCAGGAATGAGGTAATTAAATGAGTCACTATAATCTGTTGTGTCTGTTCAAATGCGTCTATTCAATCCGAAGTCGAATGGACAAAAGCTTGTAAAAGAGCTGCGCAAACCTTATAAACGTTTCGTTGTAGTAAGATCGGCGGAACTTAATTACTAAGAGAGAAGGTATAAATACAAGCACATTCGCGCTCGGTCTCTGGTAAGTGTTTCCACGGGCAGCTCAGACGAGGAACCTGCGTTAGTTTATTTCGCACATCCAAATCGTGCGTTACCGAGCGAATCGTTTTCCTGGCGATATGTAGAAGAACTAAAATTATACAGAGAACCAAATATCATCTTCATAGAGTCCGTAGCAACGCCCGAAAAAGAACAGAGGGCAGCATTTCGTGAACGGTCCGTGCAAAGTCTACTTAAGGGGCCCATTCCAGTCCCAGAGCGAATCAAGGACAAACCAAACTACATCCAAACTCTGGGGGCGGATCCAGACCACTTCATATCGAAAGTATCCACGAAAGTACACCGAGAACTCCTAGTGAGTGAACAATCAAGGTATTTATAAACAATTACCTGTGTCATAATCGCCCCGTTATAGTAATACTTCATTGTCGAATTATCCGTTGTAGTATTTTCTCGTCGTCGAATTACGAGTATTAATTATAGATAGCACTCATTCAAGCTTATTATTAGTATAAACTGTATATACCCATTAATGTAAAGAAAATTTCAACTCCCTACTTGCGCGTTTCCTTAAGATGGTGTTTTGTAAACACCAACTGCCTATAAAATTATAAGTAGTTTTCTTTCAGCACCTAGCGGTTTTGTGTTGGTTTCACATACGATTATCAAACTTTGAGTATTCCCTACCAATGCGAAGTATCATTTTGCGTATGAATGTGGTCTAACCATTTACCTTACAGGATCGTTTCGCCTCAACTCCCCATTTACTAAAATATGTTCTCTTACAGTAAAGGCGATAAGAAAATCAGAACCGTTAACCTTGAATAAAGATATTTGACTTTTTATTTAATCCTTTACCCCTTATCCTTGAGGCCAGAAGAGGGTTATTGACCGACGAGCAGCCGCGGCATATCAAAATAACTACACAACAAGAACCACCCCTGATTTAATCAACCAGAAGTCGGAGATAAAGGAAAATTTGCAACAATCCGTTACAGGCTGCAGGTGGTGGTAAACAATTTTTGACTATCGATTTGTCATTTGACAGAAGCGAAGTTCTGTACCACTAAAAATCCGTCTTGCTCGAACCAATTTTTAAATGAGTATAACTTTTGTTTGAAAAGTGATTTTGGTTCCTTAACTAATCAAGGATGTACACAAACAAATTTCGTGGAATTCTCTCCATTTTAGTTGTCCAGCCAAGAATTTTTTTCGAATTTTCAAAAACTGAGTTCAGATTCGCAATTTTCATGTTCAAAAACCCCCAGATACCAAATAATCAGAATTTTTTTCGCACCTCTATTTAGAAGTGCGCCCTTTCGAGGTAGGAATTTTGAAAAAATTTCGCAAAATCGGAAAGAGAAACTATTATGGTTGCCGAGAAAAAAATTTGAAAAGAAATGCAAACTTCACCCCTTTTTTGAGGGTGTTTCCCAAACGAAACACGTTGGACCCTTGTGTTTAGTTGGAAAAAGTGCTTGTTTTGATCCCCTCTAGCACCCAATTTTTTTTACATACTTATATTATCACCCTGTATAGCTGCGGTTGGACGTAAGTAATAATGTATTTGAGATCGATTATCGCAAACTGCATTGTTCACGTGATAATAAAGTGGAGGTTAAATAACATGAAAAAGACGAGTAAGGTTGAAGTCGAAAAACACAACTTTGCACCGCAATAACAAATTGAGGACACATTGAAAAAGCTATCGACCGCTAATTAGATTCTTTACAGTGTGAACCCACAGATTTGTGGTAGATAGATTTAAAAAATCCATTTGTATTCAATCTAAAAAATACTACGGATCAACTTATCTTATTCCTTAAAGCGTGTTCATGAAAGCACCCTACTAAATTTTCGTTTCTCCTAAAGCACGTAATAGATATAAAACAAAACTCCACATAATTACATTTCCCAATGCGAAGACCGTTTATAAACTAAACGTTCGTGTTGTTATTTATTGTTACTGTTTTGACATGCAAAGTGGTATTACACATAAAGCTGCACTTTTCAATATTTCTTTCATTCCATCTCTTTTACTTTAAGCCCGTAGGGGGCATGAAACAGTTTTTTTATGGTCAATAGTTCTCTCGCACTCACGCATCTGAACGTAAAAGGGTTATTTCAAGAACACCACCACAATGACGTTCCGAAAGGAGAAACCGTTTGAAAAGTAATGGAAGACATTTTTACGTGGCCCTATCCGTATACGTAAATTGTAATCTATCAAATTTATTAAAATATTGTGAAAACATAGCACGAAATTCTCCCATATATCATAAATTTGAAATATTAAGTTAAAGCTACTCATTACTCAACTTCTCTTAGGCAAAGCTTTACTATTATGAAAAGTGGTGCTCAGAACGTGTATTTGGAAAATTGTTATAATTACGGAATAAGGCAAATGGACGCGAGCTCTATTATGATGACGTATACGTAAATTTTTATTTTTAGGTCTGTAGCCGAACCCGGTTCTTTTCGAGTTGTTAACACATTAAAAAATAAAACAAACATGGAAAAATTCTCTGCATGCAGGCGTAATTAACACAGCGATATTTATATGGCGTATGTAGCCATAACAAGCGGAATGTAATCATGGCGTAAATTTAACGAGAAAATATTACCCTAAATTAATTTGAACGTAATGAATCTAAAAATTACGTTTAGCTAGTATTTACTTAATGAAAATCGACAAACGGGAGGCAACTAGAAGCGAGCTACATCTTAGATTCGCTGTAATAACTCCGAGATAAACTTACTGTTTCACGAGTGTTTGTCATTTGTATGCTTCCTTTCCACCATGTAATTGTAGGGGGTGGACGGGATCCAACCACTTCGCAATTTAATTCGTACGTATTTTCAGCTGAAAGCGGTCTATTCTCTCCAAGCAGTTTCACCCACAGAGGACGTACTGCAATCAAATAAATGCGCTATAGAAAATTAACTCTGCACAACAAACATAATAGATTACGAGCAAAAAAATTGAAGTGTGACTAATAGGAATGAGGATGGTGTAAAATAAAATCATGTTCCTGTTATTTCGGACTACGAATTGAAATATGATATATGAATTTGGATCCGCTACACGCCGGTTTTATAATATCACATTGTTCGGTTATTTTCCATTTCTCTTTTCAACTTTCGCATTCCTAAATCGTATTTATTTCATATGCATGATCTTTCAGAAGAATATTTATATTCAAAAAATTCTTTTATGTAACGTTATTTATTGTTTTACATTCTGGAGCGATTATAATGTGAAAATTGGGGTTTTTCGCTAATACGATATCTAGTTAGTTTTTTTTACTGTGTAATATTTCGGTGATTGATGACTAAATGGAAATGTAGTGGAATTATGGCCTCGCGTGGTAAAAGCCCCGTTCTGACACTTTTTGTTCAGGAATGATTAAATAAGCAAATTGCTAGTTTTATCAAGATGTTTATTAGAACGTAGAAGAAGACTGTGCTATTGATCGCTAAAGAAGCAATACCAAAATACGCGCGTAGTCAATTTTCAAAAGAATAGTAAACATACAATGTAATCGTAAACGATCTACATACAGTACATTTCAATATTGTATTATTACGCATGTATTCATGTAAACCAGGCGATGGTATTTCATTTTCTAGTAGCTTACCCATGCAAATTGTTAAGACTTATTGGTCGGTAGCTTGAAGGATTGACTTGCGATTTTCTGATTTCAAAATCGCTTCCTTTCATTCCGGTGCAGCAATTTTCATCTTAGGTATTGTAACGGTTCTAGCGGTTACAGGCTACCCTTAGCCTGTTCGTAACCTAAGGACCTCAAAAATCTCCCTTCTACGCCACCTCCTGTTCGGTCAAGAGTCAAGACAACCGGTGTATGTTGGGTTGCCTACATTCAGGAACACAGGGAGCTGTTCTGGGTAACTTTATATCGGAGTCCAGGTCGGAGATACTTAATTAATTAACTAAAGCTTGGTAGAATACAAGTAATATACTCATTAGAAATATATGTACACAAATTAACTAACTATTTACAATTATACAGAAACTAAATTATATGACTGAAACTGAATGCGACCCAACTGGAAACGTCAGAACGGGTCCTTGACATTCCTTGTAGTTTTATTTATCTGTAATTTAACCTTGTTAGCATCCAGTATCACAAACCGGCAGGTAGTTTCAAAGACAATTTCTTTTATCACCATCTTTGAACGTGATCAGGCAAATTACCTCTCATGTCTTGTACATAAAATCCATTCTTCTATTTTTCAAACGGGAAGACTTCAATGACCTTGTTATCAAAGTCCGGGATAGATTGAATGAATTTCTTTTCTATCGACAGGACTGCCAATCATTCAGTCGATCTTCTGACATTGCGTTTCTAAGAAAAGTTTTAATGCGTTTCATCGTTGAAAAACATCGTTCACCTTCAGCTGGCGTACTGGGAACTCGTAGCTCCGTGCCCGCAAATTTGTGCTAACTCTCGCGTACGCGAAGTTAACAAAGGTCAAGCAAATCATGCTCGCGAGTCCGGGCACCACAGACTGTGCCCGGAAGATTTGTTTTACGCCTTTTGCGGTACATATTAATTATTATTATGTCCAATCTGCCTGCAGAAGGACGGAAGGAAAGTTTGATACCATCCGTTATAAAAATTAAAATGTATGTCAAATAGAAATAATTCACTGACTGTTCTGCTATTTATTTCCACTGTTTATCGTGGCGATTGAGTGGACACGTGCCCCTGTGCCCTTTAGGACCAGCCGCTACTGGCTACGACTCCCTTTCTGGTCCGGTTTCTGCTTCCAACGGGTTATTCAACAACTGGTTCTTTTTTCTATAGGGATTTTTAGGCAGACCACTACTGTCAAACTAAACCGACATGTCTACTCAGTATTGTTTGCCATTTAATCATGGAAAGACTTACATTTCAACAGCGTCTACAAATTGTTCAAATTTGTTATGAAAATCAGCGTTCTGTAAAGAATGTTTTTCGTGTATTTCGTCAATAAACAAAATTGTCGTATTTGGGCTGAAGAGCAACCCGAAGAGTTTCAAGTGCTACCGTTACACTTAGCGAAAACAACGGTTTGGTGCGGTTTATGGGCTGGTGGAGTCATCGGTCCTTATTTTTTCAAAAATGATGATGGCAGGAATGAAACCTAACTGTGAATGGTGCTCGCTATCGCGCCATGATATCGAACTTTTTACTACCTGAAATTGAAGCCCGTGATCTCCGCAACATCTGGTTTCAACAAGACGGTGCCACTTGCTATACAGCTCGTGAAACAATGGATATTTTGAGAGATCATTTCGAAGAGCAGCTGATTTCGGGTTTAGGACCGGTGAGTTGGCCGCCTAGATCGTGCGATATTACCACATTTGATTTTTTCCATTGGGGCTACGTCAAATCAAAAGTCTTTGCCGATAAACCGACAACAATTGAAGCATTGGAAGCAAACCTAGAAGCAAACACTGTGCGGGTTATTCGTAAGATTCCGGTCGAAATGCTTGAAAGAGTGATAGAAAATTGCCAAGATGGCGCCCAAAAACGGTTTTTTGAAAATATCTCCAAAACTATGCGTTTTTCGAAAAAGTATGTAGAGCGAAAAATTAAAAAAGATTTAGTTTCCTATAAAACATGTTCCTAGTAAATATTTATCACGAAATAATGGCATTTCTTTTATTCAATGAATCAATTAATTAATCCATGTTAATAATTTATGATCAATTAATTTCGATTTAAAATGCTATACTCCACACCACCCAAGAGGTAAAGTACACGGCGCGTTTTTTTAACGTGGTTTCCCCTGTAGGCCTAATCCACTTACGTACTAAAATTATCTTTGGCAAAGGCCAGACGGACCTTGCTCCCTGATTTGCATATCTTCAACGGGGAAAATGGTTACCTTAGCTTCAGAATCGATGTCGATTTCTTTCTACTCGTCGTAATCTCCTTCTGCAGTCGATAAAGAATCATCAAGCAGCGAATGGAGGTCTTTTTCGTCCAGTGTCACTTGGCTGATATCTTCACAAGTCTTCCCATTGCAGACACCGCAAATTATTGAACATCTCAATCCTGCTTTCCTGCATCCGCAGGCTCTACCACAAGCCGCCTAGCACTTACAAGATAAAAAAGCAAGTAGTGCTTTGGAAGCAGGATCTTTTAAAGTAGTTACTGGAGTGAGGCTAGTTTGTGTTTTCTTCCAACCCCATTCTTCAACTACTTTCGGACAGCCACGCCATAGTTGAACCTGATAGTATGTTATCAATGAATGCTGTCGAGCCAAATTAAATTTACTTTTTGCTACCGACCTCACAAAACACTGGTATCGATATTTATCAAGATTAATATCATTTCTGTCTTTGACTTTCTCACCGGCAAAGGCAACTGCATCAGCGGTGGCATGTTTATTTTTAAAAACTTGAATATGATCTTGTAACTCTTTATGTTTTTCTAATGTTAAAAACCTCATCTTTCCTTGATTAAAGTAAGGCCGACGTCGTATCACCCCCACTTATTGAGCGAAGGGAGAAGATGTTATCCTTCACTACTTCGGTTCCTTTGAAACTTTGACGGGTAAATAGCCAGCGCACTGCACTTATGCTAGGAATGTGCCGGTTAGTCAGTCAATTATAAATATAACGAGAAACCAATTGCATAGCCCGTTTTACTATAAAAGATAAATTTATACGCATAGGTATATGGAGATAGGGGCAGTTTATAGAAATTAACAGAATATCTTGTCATTCAATCAGCTCTGGGCCTAAACGGCTCACATTAGCAAAAATATGCTAAGAACATTTCTTGTAGGAAATTTCTGCCTCTTCAATTTTGCACTCAACATATTTTTCGAAAAACTCATAGTTTTGGAGATATTTGCAAACAACCGTTTTTGGGCGCCATCTTGGCAAGATGGTGGCGCCGGCGGCATGTCTCGGATTGTGTATTTTAATTCTGGACATCCAAACCTGCAAACTTCCGGTCATATTTATATATTTCCCTAATGACTGGCCCATAATTTTTATTGTGTAACTGTAACCTGATTATATTGCGACCTCGTGAGTTGGGCATATTCGCGCCCGCGGTCCACTTTACTACTGTAGTGGGTGATCAGGGAGGAATTGATCAAATGGGGTGGTGGAGCGTTCGGCTCCGCAGACATCGGTACGCAAGCATCATCGGATATTTCAATCCCCTCCCCAGACTCAGGAATCTATATTCAAACAGCCAGCCAAACACACGGTAATGTTTTTTTCAATTTTTCTTCATTACTCTCATATTTAACACTACATGATTTAGGTAGTAAGAAAGAGAAAAAAATAAGCTTTCTAATGACGTAGACATGACCTATGTTACCATTAAAAAAATTCAAGATGGTGGCCGCACTCAAAGGTAGTGCCGATGACATACCGTTTACCGAAATACCCCACAGCCCATTTCTTAAAGTTCATGCTAACCCTCCCGCTCCATTTTCATAGCTACAACCAGAGTTGGACTGGGTCACTGGGATACTTCATATTCCCTTCAGTTGCTCAGATTGACCCCGTGATTCAGTTTGAACCAGTGACCCAGTAGGTAGTAACCGCGTTTGATCCAATAATCCAATTTGAGTCGGTGACCTCGGTTCAAGTGGATTATGAAATAAATGAAACTACTGAAAATAACTCGGTTGTTTGACAAGTGCCATATCTGTGACACTCACGTAAAAAACTTTCCATTTCATTGCTTTAGGGCAAGTTTTAGGTTCGTTAATTATAGTGTTCGATTTTAACTTTCTAATGGTATACGAAAATCCAGGATTGAATCCGGCAAGGTCGTGCATTTTAAGGAAAATATCAGCGTGATAACAGAATGCGCCGTTTGACCTCACATTCCAAGGAATAAAAAGGGCATTGCTGGACTGACGAATTTGGAGATTTCA